AATTTTTTTTCAATAAATATGAATTACTTTTATACTGGAAACAATGGTACAAATATTTTAAATGCTCAAATTCAGTTTCGATTCCTACAACCACATAAGAGCCCAGGAATGTGTTTGAAATAGCATAGGCTTAGGGGTCAGACAATCCTGTGCTTGAATCCTGCTGTCACTTAATAGCTTTATGATTTCAGGAAAGTTATTTGATTTTTCAAAGCCTCAGTATTCTTATGTGTGCAATGAAAAAACATTATCAACCTTATGGGACTGTGAAGATTAATTAGTATACCATCTGACATACTGTGTGCTCATTAAATAAAAGCTGTGTATGAGATCATGCTTCTCTAAATAAATGTCCCAGTATTCAATAACTTTGTTTTAACATTATTTTTCTATTTTAATTACCATTCACATTAAAGATGTCTTTTATTCCACAATAAATGATGACTATTTCTGCCACTTATTGGTTAAATGTGTTTTTAAGGGCTAGCTTTAGAACCAATGAAAAAAGTAGTGTTCTAGCCAGCATTTCCCAATGGCCCACATCATTAAATTCAATACTGATGTCTATCTCAATATGTATATTTTTAACCATTTAATAAAATAATTATTACATTTTTTCTCCTTTAAAAACAGAATTGTTTGAGAATACCCAAAATTTTTTCTACTGCACATAAGTGAATTAATAAAAATTGGGAGACTGGCTCATAACATTATAGTGGTTCAACTGTTATAACTTCATCTGAACACTGAACATCACAGTAGTTTAAAATTATTTTTATTCTTATAATGAACTGTTGGTTAAAGACAAGAAACATTAGCTACACTGATGATGAAACGAGTAAATGAATGAATTTATCTGATCAGGATTCTTAAATGGTACTACATTAAGATAGCTCAGTATTTGTTTTTTTAAAATTGATTTTTAGAGAGACAGAGTGAGGGAGAGAGAAACATTGATGTGAGAATAGAACATCAATTAGCTGCTTCCTGCATGCCCCCTACCAGGGATATAGCCCAAACTCGACATGTGCTCTGACTAGAAATCGAACCAGCAACCTTTTGGTCCACAGGACAAAGGCCAACCAAATGAGCAACACTAGCCAGGGCAAGATAGCTTAGTATTTTTTAAGCATTAAAAATAAAAATGTGGTGATAGTTATATTCAATTAGGATCTTCCTTTATTGGAAATAAACCATCCATGCTTCCAATGTTTTATTTATGGAAATAGGCTTTCAAGTAGCAGCCTGGAAACATTCCCTTTAGTTTGTCATTTAGAAACAAAACAGATTATAAAAACCTGTTGTTTTTAAGTACAAAAACACAAGAATTCCAAATTTAAGGTTAAAAAGTCAGTTCTTACCTATTTTGATGCCATAAACATAATTAAGTTCATTCTACATTGTAATATATATTCATTTTAAAATATGACAAATAATGATTTATCTCATGTTAATGTGTCATTTGTTAAGTAGGAACAGGAAATCTGTTTTAATGTATTTTGCTCAATGTATTATTAAATAAATTATACATATAATTTAAAATAAAATATATTTTACTTAAAATCACTCCCTTCTCATACCATACAAAAAAATATTTTTAAAATTAAATAAGTTTTCCCCCTGGCTGGTGTGGCTCAGTTAATTGGGCATCATCCTAGGCACAGAAAGATTGGCGGTTCAATTCCTGGTTAGGCACATGCCCGAGGGTTTGAACCCCAGTAGGGGACATGCAGGAGGCAGCTAACGTTCTGCTCTCAGTTTGGGAAGTGCTGATTCTCTCTACATGACCTAATACAGTGATGGCGAACCTATGACACGCGTATCAGAGGTGACACGCGAACTCATTTTTTTGGTTGACTTTTCTTTGTTAAATGGTATTTAAATATATAAAATAAATATCAAAAATAGAAGTCTTTGTTTTACTATGGTTGCAAATATCAAAAAATTTCTATATGTGACACGGCACCAGAGTTAAGTTAGGGTTTTTCAAAATGCTGACACATTGGGCTCAAAAGGTTCGCCATCACTGACCTAATGCATGACCTTTGGGAGACCTATTGTTTGTAAATAAAGGACTTTGGTATAGTAAATTTACTTTGTTTTAATATTCTCATAAATTCCTAAAGGCCGCACACATATGAAAACTGAGGCCTAGTGATCAGAATTGCAAAACTGTTAGTGATTCTGTGTTTCTTGTACAACTCCATAGTAATGTCTCTATGGAAAATTCACTAAAATTGGTGTGCCGGATCTCCATATTTCATATCCCTATATTCTTCTTCCTCCAATTTAAATCACCACCACCAAAACAAGGCTAGGGAGAGTTCATATATTTATTTTTCACCCAGAGGAGCACAATAGCTCTTCCCACCCCAAACCATGCTTCATACTGATTTATAGTAATCATCCCTTCAAATCTCTTAATTATGACATCCCTTCAGATATAAAAAACCTTTCAAGGGAACTCAGGGTCTTTACAATGAGGTCAAAACTCCTGAATCTATGATTCAAGGTCCTCCATGATCTGACGGTAGGCTCACCTAGTCTCATCTCCTACTACACCCTCAATCTATAGTCACACATTTCCCACAATACATCATGCCTGCTCTGTCTCAGCTTCCACATTCAAGCTGTTACCTTTGCCAGGAATGACTTTCCTTCCCAAATTCTTACCCAATAAAGCCCCACCTATTAAGACCTAAGTTCAAATGTCCTCTTCTCAACCAAGCCTTCCTCTCTTTCTGATCATGCCTAAAGTCATTCACTCGTTCAAGAAATATTTATTGAGCACTTATGCATGAGGCACTATGTATATGCTAAAGATTCAATGATGAGCCAAATAAACATGGTCTCTGCATTCATAGACCTAGTACTTATCTCATTGGGTTGCTATGAGGATTAAATGAAATAAAACATGTAGGTCACTTAAAACAGGGCCTATATAGTCATGCTCAATAAATAATAGCTAATAATGTTGCTGCCTAACCATACTAACTAAAACATTTGCCACATACACACATACATCACTTTATAGCTTGCCCTGATTGACTGATTTCTTTAAGGCTTTTATTTGATTTTTTAGAGAGAGGAGGGGAGAGAGAGAAACATCAATTTGTTGGGTTACTTGTTAGGACTGTATCTTGGACTAGTGTCTCACAGACCAGGAACATCAGCATGACATAGGTTACTTGTTAGGAATGCAAACTCTCAAGCCCTACTCCAGATTTAATAAATCAAACTCTGGAGATGGCAGCTTGCAAGCTCTCCAGTTCATTTTGATTCATGGTAAAGTCTGAATGCCCCTGTCTTAGACATCTCTCCTACAGTCATGCACTGAATAACGAACGACATTTGGGTCAATGCTGTACTGCACATACAACAATGGTATATATATCATATAGCCTAGGTGTGCAGTAGGCTATACCACCAGGTTTGTGTAAGTGGACTATGATGATCAAACGACAAAATCACCTAACAATGCATTTCTCAGAACATATCCTTATTACATTTAAGTGGGCACTGGGAATTACAGAAAGAAGTAAAGCACTATTGCTGTCTAGACTAGAATAACTCACACCTCAGGGGGAGAAACAGGTTAACACAATGACAGTGTGATCGGTCGTGAATGTGAAGGTTGTCGTGGAGGCAGATACAGGAGAATGACAACCCAAAAATGCAGAGTCAGTGGGTTAGAAAAAGTTCACAAATTAAATTATTTCATTATAAACCACTTTCCTAAAACACGGATGGGAGAAAAAAAATAGAAATTAACTAGCCTCCTAGGAAAACATGATGACCAGGGCTTAGATTTGACGAGAATGTCTTATTCCTCCCAAAAAAAACAAAATATAGATGACTGCAAATGATGGAGAAATATGTGTGACCCAACTCAATGAAAAACCAACTGAAACCTCAACCTATTTTGAAACAGGAAGGAGAAAAATTGCAAATATAAGAGTCCCCCAACTAAATTCAGAGAGGGCACACCAAAGGAAGGCATGAGGAGGTATCTGACTGCCAACCTTGATTTTCAGTCTGTAGAAGCCCTGGTCTCTTGTCTCCGAGTGAAAACACACCATTTGTTCTGAGGAATAGTCAAATCTGTAAATACTTGGAAATTTTCCAAACCGTACCTCCACATTAAGAAGCCCTCGAAATAAAAATGCGTCCCCAAACATTTTTAGTGATTTCCGTCAAAAGGCTGCCTATCTCGTAAGGTCAGAGAGAATGCATGCTGGCCGCGCACCGTCGCTCCAAAACACCCCGTCCCTTCGGTCTGGCAATGACACCGGGGCAACAGGCGGCGAGGCCCGCTCCAATACCTCCACCGTCGCCCTCCCCTCGACGAGAAGAAGAGCCACCGATTCCCAACTGCCCGCCCTACCTAGGTACTCCAGGGGAGCAATCGCCTGCACATTGTTCCTGCTTAGACCCCCGAGATCCGGAGGAGGAAAGGGGGCGGCTGTTAGAGACGGGGAGCGAGGATGGCCGATAGCGGGGGAGGAAATGAGGGTGGTGGAGGACGCAGGGAGGAGATGATACGGACGGGAGGGGGCGGGGAGGGGGATAAAATGGTGAAAGGGGGCAAGAAGCGAGAGCAAGAAGAGCAGGAACGAAACATGGGAAGGAAAAGAGGTAAATCGTAGAGATTCCCCGAAGAGAGACAATTACAGGCAACATGGTCGGGAAGAAAAGGAAGGTCGGGTTAAATAAAGGACGGGGAGGGGGCAGCCACGGGGAACGCGAAGGAGGCTGTCACGGAGGGCGATGAAAAACAAAAACACAAAAACGGGTGTCAGCTGGGAGGAAAGAGAAAAGGGGCTGTCACGCCGGCAGGTGGCCGGGAGCCCCGGGAAGGAGGAGCGGGCCCCCGAGGGGGCGGTCACGGGAGGTGAAGGGAGAGACGGGGCGCGGAGGGGGGCACCGGAGCGCGGGCAGGGCAGGCCTGCGGGAGCCGGGGCGGCGAGGGACTGCGGTTCGGGCAGGCCTTGCTCCCTCACCATGGCTGTGCCAGCCTGGTCCTCGGGCATGCGGCCTCGGTCCGGGGCTCGGCGGCGGGCCGGGCCTGAGCCCGCCCCCAGGTGGAGCCGGCGCGGGGGCTCCAGGAGGCTCCGGCTTGCGGCGGCTCCAGGCTCGGCCCAGGCCGCGGCCTCCTTCCCGCTGGAGCTGGAAGCTCTGCACACCGGCGGCGGCGGCGGCGGCGGCGGCCCCAGAGCGCAGACTCCGCCCCCGCGAAGCCCCGCCCTCGCACACGAGCCCGAGCTTGGCCCCGCCTCCACTCTCACTGCGCAGACTCCTTCGTGGAGTCTGGACCAGGCACCCCACCTCGGACTTCTGTCCCCTCAAATCCCATTCGCCCTTTAAAAAGAAAGAGCTGCCCTGGCCGGTTTGGCTCAGTGGATAGAGCGTTGGCCTGTGGACTGAAGGGTCCCAGGTTCTATTCTGGCCAAGGGCACATGCCGGGTTGTGGGCTCGATCCCCGCCCCAGTGGGGGGCGTGCAGGAGGCAGCCAATCAATGATTCTCATCATTGATGTTTCTATCTCTTTCCCTTCCTCTCTGAAATCAATAAAAAATATACATTAAAAATAAAGAGCTTTAAATATTACGTCATTATGGAGACTACAGCACTCATTCGTTTCAGTCACAGATAGACTCCTGTGCTTCTGGTTCATTGTCATTAATTACTATTCTTATGGATTTAAAAATTAGTGTCCTAGGAATTGTCCTAATCCTTAGGGATTTCAATTCTCTCAGATGATTCTTCCAACGCCCTGGCCTCTCAAATTCTTCTTCTTTAGTGATCACCCTTGCCTCAGCCTCTCATTTCCACACTCATACCTTAGATCTTTTCCTTACCAATAATTGTAACCCCTCTAAAATCTCTATTTTAATCATCCAACTCTCCCACCACAAACTCCTTCCTTTCTCGCTCTCTTCCTCTAACACCCAACTCCAAAAATTCTTCAACTCCACTAAGACTCGAAACCCATTGATCCTATTACCTTTTCACTATTCCTCACACTACCCTATGTCCTCACTTCCTTTCATGAACAGCTTAGATTCTACTGTCCATCATCAAAATCATTCCCAGATATTAACCTTCATTTCTCTAGTTCTGCTCTCCTTTCCTTGTACTCACCTGACAAAACTCTAATTCTGAACGTGCAGCAAAATGGGGTGTGTGTCCGGTTGGAGGGGTGGTAGTGGAGAAGAATCCAAAACCATGCTGACTGTACTGATTGGTGTCCCTCTCCCTTCCACTCTCTAAAAATTCAATGGAAAAAAACATCCTCAGGTGAGGATTAAAAAAAAAATCCACTTCCTTTGACAAACAGAAACTTATAACTTTAAGTGAATATTGTTTTCTACAACAAACACTCTTAACAAATGTAGTGCCCTATAACAATTCAAGATTACAAATTGAGATTCTGTGGAACTACTAAAAATAAACATTTAAATATTTGGAAACTCTGGTTCTTTTGATAAACATAGAAACCCAACTTTATGAGGAAAGATTCAGAGTAAGTATAGCTTTAACTTAAATTCAATGATAAATTGTATGCAATTATATACTGGTGTTTCCTCTTATCTATGTAAACAAAAATTAATGGTTAATTCAGTGCTCTACCCTCTTAAAAACACTTGTGTCCTTCAAAAAGTCCTGCTAGTAAAGCTTCTAGCCTTTGTTCTCTAACTATAATCAAGACGGAATCTAAGGTATTCAGGACTTTATAATAATTTATTTCTCCAGAAACTCAATTGTTTACAGAAATTGAAAGATTTATTTATAATTTTAATGTTAGCTGATATTATTATTGTTTTGTTATTATTGTCAAGAGAATATTAATTCCATTTTATTCTAGAATGTAAAGCTAGAGGCAAAGAGGGGATGGGAAGCTATAGGAAGATAGATTTCAGTTCAACAGAGGGAAGAGCATTCAAAGAGCAAGAATTATTCTGCATGGGATGGACTGCTTTCCTGGTTACCAGAAAAGTGCAAAAGGGGGGCAATTGACAATGTGTTGGGAATATGATAGATAAGAGTTCTATAAGGAGTTAAGAAAATAGAATTGATGATTATTCAGATTCCTTCTAATTTTAAAATTCAGTGGTTCAAGAAAGTTAAATGTGAAAGCAAAGGAATAGAAATTTCAGTACAACTCACTTATTTCTGAGGCAGGATTTCCTGTTACTTTTAATATTCAATGCCCTGAATCTTTAAGGGAGGGGACCATTCTAACGGTCTACTGTGTTTTGTAGTTTGTGGGATAATGAAAAAGACTCCCAGTTAAAAACAAACAAGCTCCTCCTTAGCAATTTAATAAGGGGATAGCAAACTTACTGAGTATGACGAATTTTAGCTGGCGACTCCTAAGGTTCTGAGATCCATTCCAACCACTCATCAGAACCCAAGACTCAGGGCAGAAGTTTCCAATAAGCATCATCTATTAAGAGTTCACCCTGGTTGGTGGACTGAATACTCTCCATGTAAAGCTAGGCAGTATGAGAGGTTTTTTTTCAAAGCTAAAAGTAGCAATCTGGATACAAACTTTAGCAATCCCTCGCAAAATCACAGCACACTTTTTTTCAGAAAGCAGTTTACCAGCCAACCTCACATTTAATCTTCACCACAAGTCCCTGGGACTGGTAAAGGGGGTTATTTTCCCATTTGATAGATGAGAACACAGGCTTAGAGATAGGAGACATTGCCAATCAGCTGGGGAAGGGCTAAATCTGACCCCAGAGCTCATTCCACTATCTCACAGCCTTGGAATTTCTCTCGAGGACAGGAAGGACCAGGTGAACAAAAGGTCTTTCTAGTACAGAATTTTCTGCTATAATCCATCATCAACTTCTAGTGTCTATCAGAATCAGCTGGAGCACCTGTTAAAGGAGTTCTCTAGGTCCTTCCCTGAGGCTTTCTGATCTATTAAGTCAGGGTTGGGACTCAAGATTTTGCATTACTAGCACATTCCCAGAAGATGCTGATGAGGTTAGTCTAGGAAGGAACAGGAGTGCCGCTCTCCTACTCCCCCCTCCCTTCCTAGTGCCAGAAGGCAAATGAAAATGCTTTGAGCAGCAAAACAGAAGCACCAGTGCACTGTCTCAGGATGAGACTGAGGAGCACTGTGCCAGGAGTCAGAGGGTTGAATTCTAGCCCCTGGCTCTGATACAGGGGAAGTGGGATTTGGTACCTTTAATTAAGGCTGCTTGGACCTTTGAGATACTGTGGCCTTGGGCAAATCTTTCCTCTCCCTGGAGCGATTTGATCATCCGTAAAATATCCTGAGGGGATGAGTGGTCAAGAGGGTAAACTCCAAGGTCTAACCAATTCTAATATTCTGGTTCTATATTTATCTAGCCAGAGTCTATTTCACTAGGTACCTATGCCTCCAGAGTAGACAGAAAGTAGCTAATATTTAATACTAAAGTCCCGGTGCACAAAATTCGTGCAAGAATAGGCCTTTTCTCCCCCCCCTCACCCCCCCCAACCCCCCCACCCCCCACCCCACTGCTGGCACCAGCTTCCCTCCCAGCCCCAGCTTCGTCTGGAAGGACGTCCAGTCTAATTAGCATATCACACTTTTATTATTTTAGATTAGACACAAGAACTCTGAGAAATCAGACAGTGCTTGGGAAATCCTCTTCACATGATGGCTTCAAGACCTCATGGGAGAGCTGGTGAAAACTCCTGACTGTGGAATCAGAAATTATGTCTCCAGAGAAGAGAAATGTGGTTTAAAAATCAATTAAGTATCTTCTCATGCTTTTTAATTAAAAAGGAACAACGAACCGAGGGTTTTGTACAAAAAGGCAATAAACTCCTTGGACCTATCAGCGCAGTGATGTAAAATGAACCTTCTTAGGTGACTAATCAGGCTGAGGCAGAGCTCTCTAGTAAGATGACATTTTACCATGCTCTGCTTTTTAATATAAGTTACAAGCTTTTCCTTTATTTTCCTGACTTTTAATGTAAATAGAAAAGGTTAATTACTAAAGCTTGTAAAATATATTTCAGAGAGTTGCATAAAGTCACAAAACATGTTTATTGTGAGAAAGAGCATTAATTTGAAAAATCTGCCTATTCACTTAATCTATAAATGACCTCTCTAGTCTTTTCTATTCCATTTCATTTCTTTTTAAATTTTTTTATATTTTTGGTTATTTTAACTGATTTTTTAGCGAAAGGAAGGGAGAGGGATAGAGAGATAGAAACATCAATGAGAGAGAAACATCATCGATTGGCTGCCTCCTGCACACCCCCTTACTGGGAATCCAGCCTGCAACCTGGCACATATGTGCTGTGACTGGGAATTCAACTGTGACCGCTTGGTTCCTGGCTCAACCACTGAGTCACATAGGCTGGGCTCCATTTCTTTTCTTCATTCCTCAACACATAGTGAAACTTCTGGGGGTAGAAGGCAGTTTGGCAGTTAAATCTTCTTTTCCCCACTGAAGTCACTGGTTTTAGCATAAAGGTGGCTTAAGCTATTTCTGGTTCAAACATCAAGGTAAAGTGTAGCCCTAACCGGTTTGGCTCAATGGCTAGAGCGTCGGCCTGCAGACTCAAGGGTCCCAGGTTCGATTCCGGTCAAGGGCATGTACCTTGGTTGCAGGCACATCCCCAGTAAGGAGTGTGCAGGAGGCAGCAGATCGACGTTTCTCTCTCATCAATGTTTCTAACTCTATCCCTCTCCCTTCCTCTCTGTAAGAAATCAATAAAATATATTTTTTTAAAAAAAGGTAAAGTGTATTCCATAGGACAAAGAATCAAAGCAGAGCTAGTATAGAGAGCAGGGAGGAATATGTGTCCATTAGGTGGAGTGTCCCAGTGTCAGGGCCACATTCTCAATCAACTGTTTAAGGTTGGTATCTCTCCCTCTTCATTGCTCTCATCCACTAAACACATTCATAGATGGCCTTGACACCTGACCCGGGCTTTACTCTGTTGCAGTAATTATCAAAGTTTAGTACCCAGTATCATCATCACGGGGAAACTTGCTATAAATACAAATCCTTGGGTCACAAAGACCAACAAAATCAGAAACTCCAGGTGTGGGCCCCCGAAATTTTTCAGCTGATCCTGATCCATGCTAAAGTTTGAGAGCTATTGCAATCCTACAACAACTTGGGTGACTTCAATGTTTACCTCCGCGACTCATCAAGCTCCTTGGCCTCTCTGCTCTTTGATATTCTCAATTCTA